GATACTTTAATTTTAAATTTTCTTCTTGCAACTGCTGCAAACTGGGAGAAGCTTCCAAGCAGTTATAGTTTTTCAACTGGTCAATTTCAGCAGTCAGAGACGCAATCTCTTTTTCCTGCTGCAGCAGCCGCGCGGAGCACTGGGCCACCAAGCCGTCCATCCTCGCCTCAACGCTGTACAAGCCAAGTGGCCGGAAACGGAAATAGCTAGCAGAGCTAAAAATATTTTTTAAAATGATGAAAACATTGAGAGAATAATACAGGAAAAAATTCCAATGCATGAAACAGATACCCAGGAAATTAAAAATTCCACTGAAATCTGACAACACTGTTTGAACAAAACTGAAGATACTTTCAAACTTCAAAGACAGCACTGAAGCTACAATCATGAAAGAAAAGAGCTATTAAAAGTAGCAAGGAAACAGGAAATAATAATTCAACAGCTGCAAGATAATGCAAGGAAAACAATGATAGGTTCAATAAAACAGCAGGAACAGACACAAATGACATAAAGAGACTATTTGAAGAAGAAGTAGAAAATTTCCCAAGCATGGGAAAGGACTCTGACATCCTAAAAAGTGAGGCGTGTACAACTCTAATTTACTCATAACCAAAATAAGTCTACACTCAGACCTGTAGTACACAAGATCCCAGAAATTCAGCAAAGGAACAGAATATGAAAAGCTGTTAGTCAAAAGAAACAGATCACCTATAATGGAAAGTACGTTAAAATCATGGCAGATTTCTCAAATCAAAGCAAGTCAAGATGAACTTGGAGTAAACTGAAAGAAAACAACTGCCAACCCAGACTGATATACCATCCAAAATTAAAGGAAAAATAACATACTTCCATAACAAAGAACAACTGAAGAAATTCATGACCACCAATCCAACCCTACAAAGAGTAATGAAAGATATTCTACAAAGAAAAAATGACCAGAACTTCAAGAAAAAAAATTTTAAAACCCACCGAACAGAGCAGACAATTAAAAAGGGGAAAAGTAGAGAATCAACAGCAGGAAAATAACATGACAAAGATAAACCAAAACACATCAGTTATAACTAACAACATAAATGGCTTTAATTGACCAATCAAAAGCAGTAGACTGGCAGACTCAAAATCCAAAAATATACTGATACAAGAAACACATTTAACTCAAAAGGAAATTCATAAAGTGAAAATCAAAGGATGGAAAACAACATTTCATGCAATAGAAACCCAGAAAAAAAGCAGGGATGGCTATTCTGTTTGCAGACAAAGTAAACTTCAAACCAAGAATGATCAAAAGAGATAAATAAAGTCACTATATACTTGTTAAGAGAAAACTGCAAGAAGAAGGGATAAGTCCTAAATATATATGCACCAAATATAGAAACACCCAGCTATATAAGACAAATATCAATAGGCATGAAAAATCAAATGAGCAAGAACACAATTGTCATGAGGAACTTTAACACCTCATTGTTACAAAGAGTTAGAACTACTAGACAATAATTCAGCAAAAATAAAATAAAATAAATAATTGAACCAAACTTGTGAACAAATGGACTTAGTAGACTTTTTTTTATTTTAGGGAAGGGTCGACAGGGTGTTCATGTTCTCACTAGTAGATCGGACTCATAGTGACCCACCTGTTTATAGCCTCCCAAGAGCTGGGATTACAGGCACACTCCACCATGTCCAGTCTCAATTGCCATCTCATCATGCCCTGGGGTCAGGGCTGGCATCGCAGGCCGTGGGATTGAACCCCCAGCCCCTGTGCCTGCTTGCAGTCACTTTAATCCACTGAGTTATTTGACCGTCCTGACTTAGTAGACTTCTACAGAGTGCTCCATCCAAAAAATCTGAATACGCACTTTTCTCAGCTGCACATGGGGTGTTCTCTAAAACAGACCATATACCAGCCCATAGAACACGCTTAAGTACATGCAAAGGAAATGAAATAATCCCGTGCATATTATCTGACCATAGTACAATGAAATTGGAAAATTTTGACAAAAGAAATTGCGCAAAAACATGAAAATTAAATAACATCATCCTGAACAATCAACGGGTCACAGATGAAATTAAATAAGACATTAAGCTGTCTTTCCAATCAGACAAAAATGCAGATACAACTTACCAAACCTGTGGGATACAATGAAAGCAGCTTTAAGAAGGAAAATTGCTTTTGGCCTATGTTAATGGAGACAAATACAAAAGGCAGGACTATTTAAGCCAATATGTGGTTAGTTTAAGAGTTGTTTATTATTGTACTGATGAACTAATGTTCACATGAAAAAATAACAAAATTTTTAAAAGAAAATTAAAAGTGCTACTCCAGTAAACACATGAATGATAAAGAAAGCACAACAGATGGGGGGGAGGGCTAAAGGGAGGGTAGAGGAGTGCGAAAAAAATTTATAGCATGTACAGGTACAAATTTTCTACATTGAATATGATCATTATGTATATCTAAAATATACCAATAAAATCTGATTTTTAAGAAAACACAACAGCCTTACTGCTGATGTGGGAAAAGTTTCAATGTTCCAGACAGATAGAACCAGCTACAGCAAACATTCCCTTGAACCACCATTAGTTCAGAATAAGACCCTGACTCTAAACCAAAGCAAGAAGAGAAGTGAGGAAGTTGCAGAAAAAGAAATTGGAAGTAGCAGAGTTGGTTCATCAACTTTAAGGAGGGAGTCGTCTCCATGACAGAAAAGGAGAGGTTTGGTACCGGGGACCAAACTTAGGACTCTGCACTTGCCGGCCAGGTGCTTACACCACTGAGCTATCTCCCCAGCCCAAATAAAAAGACAGGTAAAGCCGCAGTGCTAATGTAAAGCCGCAGTAAGTTACTCAGGCAGAACTAAGATCACGGACAAAGGTGGCTACCTTAATACAGAGCTGCAATGTGGGTGACCTCCTTTACCTTGGGAGACGGCTTCAAGGGCTTTCATAGTTGACAGAAGTCACTACCTGACTGCAGAGCTTCGAAGGACAGGCTGCCTTTCATGTTAGGAGCTAATGCAGCTAGCCTTGAAATGGAACCCAACCCTTACTGACCAAATCCCTAGGGAACTTAAGATTCAGACTGTATATCTGACGTACAATCTATTTAAAAGACATAGTATGATATTTTCTCCTAGTATTAGAAACCTTAAAAGGTATATTTCCATTTTCCATTGACTTTATATTACTACTTCCCTATCTTTTATACAAACACACATATGAAAAAAATACATATGTAATCCGATAACATTGATAGTTTCATAGAAATCTTTAATGATGTTTTAAATGAGTTCATCTAATATATTTTACATAGTCCTGCATAACTATCATTTTGAGAGCTCTTTATTCTTCATCCAGGAGCATACAGCAACCTCTCTTGCCTTCTGGATTATGCTCTTTGTTATTTCCTATATACTATGTCTGGAGGTATTAGAGTATTTACAGTTTGTATAACTGGAAAATATTTTACTTTTAGTTTTCAAAGGTATGTTTGCTAAGTATAAAATTCAAAGAAGACATATTGGGTTTTTTCCTTTCTTTCAGTCCTTCAATTAGACTAGTTTCTTATACACTTGGTCTTTTTTTTTCTTTCTTTCTTTCTTTCTTTGTGGAATAAGATGCTATTTAATTTTGTTCTTCCATAGCTAATTTTTTAATGTATATGCTTTAATGATTTTTTTCTTTACAATAAGTTTTGGACAATTTCATTTTTGTGTATCTTGGTATGATTTTATTCAAATTTCTTGTGCAAAAGGTTCATTTTTCTTGGAAATGTAGTGTTACAAGTTCAACTAAATTCAGAAATTTTAAATCTTTAAATATTTACTGCCTACCTCTTTCTACTTTGAGAATTCTAATTATATGAATATAAATTTCTTAATTTTGACACAGAGTGAACTATTACATGAATGACCTAAATCCTTCTTCATTTTTATTTTGGACAATTTTTGTTATATTCATTTAAGTTTGTAAATAATTTATTTACAATGTGCAATCTATTATTAATCTCATGCTATGTATTCATTTCAGAAATATTACTCTGAAAATCACTCTGTCTATATCTTATATCTTTCATATTTCAGTATTTGTCTACAATTTTTAATATGATATGTAATTACTGATTTTCAATAAAGTTAAAGAAAAAAATCCCTAGGGACCTACGAATTTTGCAGAACAACAAAGTCTGGAGGCAGTATATCTGTTCACAACATGGTTTACTGAATGTTTTAAACCCACTGTTGAGACCTACTGTTTAGAGGGGGAAAAAAGATTCCTTTCAAAATACTCAATGACAACACACCTGGTTACTCAAAGGCCCTGACGGAGACATACCATGAGATTAATGTTGTTTTCATAACTAATAACACAACATACATTCTGCAGCCTGTGGGTTGAAGAGTAATTTTGACTTTCAAATCTTATTATTTAAGAAATCTATTTGCACACCTGTAATTCCAACCCCTCCAGACACTGAGGCAGAAGGATCACAAGTTCGAGGCCAGTTGGAGCAACTTAAAGAGAAGCTAGATCTGATTAATGTAAATTGAAAACTTTGTGGAAAGGATTCACCACTCAAGATGACATTAAGAATGTTAGTGATTCATAGAAGGTGAAAATATCAATATTAATAGGAGTTTGGAAAAAATTGATTCTAGCTCTTATGGATGAAGGATTCAAGACCAATAGAGGAAATAACTGCAGCTATAGTGAAAAGAGCAAAAGAGGCAAAATAGAGGTGGAGCCTGAAGATAAGATTTAATTGGTGCAATATCACGATCAAACTTTAATGATGAGAAGTTGCTTCTCAGAGACAAGCAAGGAAAGTGGTTTCTGGAGATGGAAACTGTTTCTGGTAAAGAAGCTGTAAACATTGTGAAGATGATAACAAAAAATTAGAATGCTTTGTAAATTTAATCTGATAAAATATGGTGGGTTTTGAGAGGATTGATTCTAATTTTGAAAGAGGTTCTACTGTGGCAAAATGCTGTTGAACAGTATCACATGTGACAGAGAATTCTTTTTTGAAACAAATTTCATTGCTGTCCTTTTTTTCTTTTCTCTTTTTTTTTTTTCAATATGGGGCCTTTACATTGCATTACATTCCCAGCCCTCCCATCTTTTATTTCGAGACAGAGTCTCATTAGATTGCTAAATTGCCTATCC